ACTGAACAGGTCTTTAAATTTTCTTTACTCAAATTTATTAAGAATTTGGCCATTATTGATCGTTTTCTAAAATTTCCAGATATTTGTACCCAAATCGTTTTTTTGATCACATAGCATTGAGACTGAATCATAATTTAAGTTATCCAAATAAAATTTTGCAATTTGATATTACATTCCTGCTGTGGTGTAAATTAGCATTCTTTGTAATTATTATGCTTTTAATTTAATATAATTTAAACCTTTTTAAAAAATATTTGAATTTACAATAAACAAAGAAAATATTATAAAATTGGCAAATCCACATCCAACTAAAAAAGTAACCTTCAGTGTGACATGTCAATCGAACATTAATAAATTGTTATAATTACGTATTCAATGTCTAGGATCATTGTTTTACAAGGCCAATTGAATTTTAAATGTGAGATTGTTGTGCTTACGTAATAACACAAAAAATAATAATAAATCTATGATCATAAGTGTTTGCACGATAATAAAAGTAAATACACCCTAACGGGTCGATTTTAATAGGGCTAGTTATATACGAGAAACAAATATCCGTGAAATTTTATCAATTTAACAAATACAGTTTTTGTGAAATTCTAGTTTATCATGGTTACAATGTAGATTTATATAGCAACTTATTGTTAGCAGTTGCTTCTTTATATTCCTTGATCAAATTAGAAATTTGCTTAAATTTCGAATGTGTTGCATCACCAAGGAGTTGAAACAAAATTGATTCTGAAGTTGTAACTGATGCACCTGCTTGTCGTAGACGCTAAAAAAAAATGTATTATGTAAATTTTACGATAGAAAATACAATCATAGATATATCAAAATTAACCTGCAACGCAATATCTGTTTCCGGATGATTTATCGAAGAAACACCATCAGCTAAAACATGAACTTCATATTCATGTTCCAACAAATCCAAGGTTGTTTGAAGCACACACACGTGTGTCTATAATTTAAAACCAATTTTAGCGGGAAAATCAACTATTTTTAACTTAAAAGGCCAAAAAATTTGAGAATTATGATAATTGCCTCAATTCCAAATAGCACCACTGATTTTATATTGTGAGATTTTAATAAGTTTTGAGTCTCCTCTTCGTACATTGAAAATTTGGTCTTGCTAACTACTTTTAACGCATTGGAAACATCAAGTTCTTGAACCGTCTGTCCAAGAGCTTTCATTTACAGTATGAAAAAAAAAAAGAATGAATAATTCAAACTACAGCCTACAAGTTCTAAATAAACGAATATGCGTATAATAATACCTCCGGGATTCTATTGAAAAAAGTAAACGATCAATAATGGCCAAATTCTTAATAAATTTGAGTAAAGAAAATTTAAAGACCTGTTCAGTGACAATTAAAGGTATCTCTAAAATTTTGGACGCAGCAATCTTAAAAATGAAATATTGATATTAATATTTAAAATCTTTCGATAATAATTGGACTTGTCTTATTGAATTACCATTTTCTGAGCGGTTGAAACTACGCTCAAAAATTGATGAATATGAGGTCTAAATTTTTCTTGAATGTCACAAAGGAAAAAAGCTGTTGTTGGTTGACTTATTCTCATAATATTACGAAGACTTGCCATTTCGATATATTTTCTGCAGAAAGGATAGAGATTAACAATTGGATTTGAAATCAAAAATTTTAATTTTGTGTTAGGGCTTATTAATGTTGATTTTCGTATCATGTGATAATGTTTATCTTCGGCACCAGTATTCATAGAAAGAAGTTCGTCTGATTGGCTAATGCAAATAAATTGCCCGGATAACTTATTTATACACTTTAAAGTACCTTTTCGTAACACAACGTTTTACTAATAAAAAATCATCGCAAAAGCCATTCATAGCTTTAGAATAGTGTCAATATTCACTGTGCAAAAGAATTTGAAAAAGATCTTACTCTTGATAAACTTTGCTAGAAGACAAAAATGTTATTTACTAGTAATCTTACAAGACCATGTGTGATTACAATTTGCAAAAGACAGTCTTTCAACTGGAAAACAGTAACTGAAAATGTTATTTCTAAAGATTAAACTAACAAAACTTTTTTAAATTATATTTAACTAGGTGATACAATTTGCTTAAATTGCTATAACAGAATCATAACAAGAAGCACAGTTGAATTTTAGCAATATGCGTTAGAACAGTCTTGCTATAATGTACCAGAAGAAATATCTATAGAGATTTTTGTTAATAATTTTTAACTTTTTTACAGGCTGTAGAAATAATTGCAGATATTCTTTATAAAAAAAAGCATAATAAACTACCAACAATCAAAATTCAACTAATAATACCAAAACAAAATATTCACAACTTTATATTAGTTAATTTTTAATTAGTTATAACTGGTATTGAAAATTATTTTATACTATTATAGTATATTCACTTTTTTATAATTAATATTGGAGAATTTAATCTGTGGATAATAAAACCAAGCTTGAAGAATTGATAGTTTATAGTTATGATGTTTATTTAAAAAAAATGAAGTTTAGAATTACTAAAAAATATAGTGCTTGTAGATCTTTTTAAGAACAATCTTTATATAATGGATACTTATATTAAAGTTATTAATATTGCTATACTGTATTAGTTCTAATAATAAATAAATAGCAATATTATTCTAGTTATTGCTGATTGGCCTAGTCAAATATATTTAAGAATAGCTATATTATGATTTTTTGTTTATAGTAGCTCTTTTGGAATTATTAATAAAATTTAGTTATTTCTTTTAATAATAGTTCTTTTGCATATACATTAAGTATAAAATCTTTAATTTACAATTCTATTATAGATTGCTTTGGTATACCTAATAAAAAAAAGGAAAAAAAAGATAAGATAATACTATACAAAAAATATTTCTATTCTAGCAATAAAGATAAAAAAGGCATGGCTTTGCCATTTTTCTTTAGAATATAGTTCTTCATATAAGTCTAGTTTATCTGGTTGTGATTTTTATAGTTGCATTACTACAGTACAAATATCCTTAAATCAATATATAAAATATATAATCTTTAAAAGCTTATAAATAAAAAACTAAAATAGTTATAAATCAAATCTCTTTGTGAAATAATAAAATTAAACCTAAAAAACAAAGCTTATTTTTTAAATTAATTAGTATTTAATAGAATTGTTTCTTTTTAAAGTTAGTCTATTTTATTAATTAAATTAAAAATTTGGCCACCTTAATTTTGGCCAAAATTACTAATATATTTTTAATTCTTTAATATTGGTTTATTTTTGTACAAAATTTGGCCACTATATTTATAACTTGTGGATTCCCGCATTGTATAATAACAAAGTTTTACTAGGATAACCCTGCTGTGTAACTAAGCAAAAATGCTCCCCTCGCAATTTTACCCCAACCTTAATTTTAAGCAGCATATAACCTATGGATACATATATATATATATATATATATACAAATAAATTAATTCTATGTTTAAAAATAAAATGTATATACATTTAGTAAAAAAAAAAAAAATAATACGTAAAATTTGTAAAATAATTTCAGAATTTTTATGCTAATATATATATATATATATATATATATACTAATGTATGTTATCTTGCAACAACTACGTATACTTTAAAAACTACCAAATACAAACAAAAAAGCTTTATTTATCAACACTCAAATACAAACAAAAAAGCCATTATCATTTATTAGTACTAGAGATGTAAAAACTATTTGTGGCTTATATTGTTAAATCTATATATATATATATATACTGTATATACTGTATATAGTAAAATATTTAGATAAAGCATAAGCCATAATGTTGACTAAATTTAATTAGGATATTCGCGCAATAATCATTAGTAATTACGCGCTCCGTTTTACCAAGTTCTTGGTACAGCACAATACACATAAATTTAAAGCGTTACAGAAAAATAATGGCTTGGCTTACTATAGAAAGTCACTAGATCTTTTACCAGAAGCTTTATTCTTGCAAAGATTTTGTCTTTGTTAGATTTCACTTTCGCCAGGTGTTTCGCCTTTAGTCAGGGGTTTCGTCTTTCATCAAAGGTTTCATCTTTCGTGGTCTTTTAGGAGGTTAGGTTTCATATTTCTTCATTTTATAAAAACAGCTTCGTCTAATAATTCTAGAATTATGCACTAATATTAAAAGAAATAACAAATTGAATAAACTTTAAGCGACAAAAACCCTATGAAGACTTTTTTTCATAGATCTGAAATATTTCGTATCCTCTATAAAAAAAATAGAATAATTATTAATATTTTAAATATGGATGGAAAGAAAATAAACAAATAATGTAAAGTGATAAAAAAGAAATGACAGATAAAAAAAATCGAGCTAAACAGAAGCATGAAATCCCAGCGATATGAGATCGAAAATCAGAAAGTTCGTGGAAGCAAGTGTATCAGATTTTTTTTTTTTTTTGAGGCCTTTTACGCTTGCATAGCAAAATATTTATTTATTTAATAGCGATAGATTTTATACGTAGGCATTTTAGTGTATCTTTTTATAAATTAATCGTTTTTAATAAAAAAAAAAAAAAAGACGTTTATTTTATATTTAACACCTAAAATGGAAGAAACAGAAGATTATGATACGAAAATTGACGTTATGATAGAAACAGAAGAAGATCAAGGACGTAGAGAACACAATGTGACTCATAATTCCGAAATCACCACATTACTTTATTCACTTAATTTTAAGTATATTGCAACTATGGATAAAGACAAAGCTATAATTATATGGCCAGTTGTGCATAATAAAACATAGTTAGAACCGAATTCAAAATTTTTGTCTTACGAAATAACTAATAAATCAAAATATGATTATTATACTTGTTGAATTGTCAGATGATGGCTTAATCGTATTAATTGTCGAAATAGTAACTGGAACATATAAACATCATCCAATTGATGGTATGCTTTATTAAAAATTTATTATTAAAACCAGACTTTTAAATATATTCCTGAATAAAATAACAGATTTCAAGAATGGATCATTTATGCAAAAAGAAAATTTAATATTAAGTATGTGATAATTATCTGAATTTTATATTTTTAATTAATGGTTATTATTAATTCGGACTAATTCTTAAACTTTTAAGATGTAATCGTGTTTGATACCCGAGAAAGGCGACAAATCGAGATTCCACAACTAACAGAGTCATTAAATGTATTGGACAATTTTCAATGTTCTTTACAATGGGGATTTTGCTTTCACTTACCAAAGTAATAGTAATGATCACAATAGCAATCATAATACTGTAATAGCGATTATTATACTAGTCTCCAGTGGGATATTAGGACCTCAACTTTTGATTTTGATGTATTTGAAGAAACTTATCAAGTTAAAAATTTTTTTGGAAAATTTGAAGTTAATAAATCTAATGATATATTAGCTTTATGGAATCGTGGTTTGAAGATTTATTCAGCTCAAACAGGCATTAGAATTTCAAGTTATAATGAACATTATAAGAATCAGGATAATGAAAATTTTCATATTAGTTTTATAAATTTAGGCGAAGGGCTGGGCGAATGGTTATTAATTTCGAATTTCGCAAAATCTTTAACTCATCTAATAAATCCTATCCATTAGACATTTTTAGACCAGACAAACCATTAAAAGTTGATTTAATTAATAAAATTAGCACAAAGTATGTAGGATTCAATGCTCAAACAATATACAAAAACAAGATCATAGGAATTGTTAAAAATAAAGTTCAGATTCTCGACTTTGTTGAATACCTGCAAAGCGATTGTAGAGATCAATATAGCCATTTTTTTAGCAACATGGATGAAATACTAGAAAAATTAATTAATTCGGAAAATTATATCAGCACTGATCTGAAGAAAGAATTAAAAGGTCATCAAATTTCTTGGAATTACGATAAGGATTCAGGAAAATTATCGGCTAATAAAAAAGGCGATATCTTTCAATCATTTTTCAATTCGGATATCAAAATATGCATCGATAAACTTATTTTGTTATCTAATGATGATTTAATGATTTTTATGGATTCTCCACGGTGTATAATTGTAACTCCATCCGAATCTTATACCCTATATTATGGAAAATTACAGATACGATTCATTTTTTACGATATTGATTTTGTAAAAATGTATCAGAAAAACATAATATCTGAATACGATTTTTTTGTCAAATATTTTTATGATGTCCTTTCCCATCTCGATAAACAAAAATTTTTTATTGATGATGAAAGTGATTTCAATAAGTGGAGTAGTAATAAACATTTTGGCAAAAAATATTCATCGATTGGAATTAATGGTAGAGATCATTTATTTTTGTTACATGGGCAAGCTCTTTTAAGCGCTGCAATCAAAGGACATAAAATGGTTTTTGATAAGTGTATGGAATTACTCAAAGAGAATCCAGATAATATTAATATCCTCAAAATTATAACATCTCTATTGCCCGAAATTAATACAAATTTTCCTGGATATATTAACAGATTTTAATCACAGGCATCATTATTATTGAGTCCGGATTAATTTTACAAACCTGTGCAAACGATAAGACATCATCTTTTTCCATATACATCGGAATTTCATATGTTAGAACTTTCTCTAATTTCAAAAGCTTACTCATACTTTTTTAAAAGTATATAAAGCATTTGAAGCTTTTGTTAAAATATTTGATGTATTTTCTGTTGATTCACGCCCTATACAGAAGTTATTACATTGGTTGTACCACTGCCTAAATTTTCTGCTTATGAATCTAAATATTCCTTTTGGAAAGAAATATTAGGAAAACCATCATCTAATGGTTTTGTGAAAATGCAAATTATTGAACTATATTCTGATTGGAATGGTGAAGCTCTAATAACTTTTAAATGGGAAAAATTTGGAAAATATTATTATTATTTATTTGTTTCATTTTACCTCTCTTCTTGTAATATTCTCAGGGCTTATTTCAACAAGTGGTCAAAAATTTTGTTTATGGTTATCATCTATTATTGGATGTTTATTATTACAGATATACGGCAATTTATATGGGATTGGAAGCAATATTTATAGTCCATGGAATTTATTTGGTAAGAAGTATAAATTCTTTAATTTTCAGTTTTGACTTTTAACATAGTCATTATGTTTGTAGATATTTGTGCTTTACTTTTTCCTGTTTCAACTTCCATTTATTGGCTATCGAATGGCACTCCACCATTATGGGCACCTGCACTCTCGTGCTTATTTCTTTATTTCAAATTCTTATTCTTTTTACGAGCCTTTGAACGCTTTAATGTTGGCTTTATCTTGCAATTATGGCTGGCGTTGTTGGTAGAGTGTTTTCATACTTGTTAATTTCGGGAATTATCATATTTGGATTCGCACATGCTTTCTATATATTACTTCATCAGTCAAGTGAAAATAGCAGCACGACTGATGTTAATTCAAATTTATACTCTTATTTTGAAACTTCTCTTCTGGCCGTTTATTTATTGATGACTGGTAAGTATTTTAAATTCCTTTTTTTTTTTTTTTTTATCGATACAATAGTAAATTATACATTTTAATTATAATAATTATAATTTAATTGATATTTAATGATAATATTATATATTTATCTTAATTTTATAGGTGATAATAGTTCACTTTCTACTTGGGATTATCGAGAAAATCCCATTCTAGTTATATTAATGGTTTTATTTTTAATTTTTACCGTTCTCTTTATGCTAAATCTATTTATCGGGTTATTAAGTAATGCAATTCAAGACCATGATAATAGAGCTGCATTTCTCTTACAAAAAGCCAAGGTATTATATACATTTTTTATTTATTCATAAATTATATCCTTATACAGTCAGACCTCTCTAAATGCATAGCCTCGGGCGGCCAAAAAATCTTGCATTTAGGGAGGTAAAAATCTATAAGTGTCATATGGGTTGGGGCCAAACAAGGCCATGCATTTAGAGAGACTATGCATTTAGAGAATATGCATTTAGGAAGGTCTGACTGTATTATATTATTTAAATATTTGTGGAAATAGAATTGTTCTATCTTCTTCTGAATCAACGAAGGTGGAAAAGCTGGTTTCCAGATATCATGTATAATGTTTTTAATAATTCTGTAATTAATTATTATATAAGTTATATTCCAATATTTCTAATATACTGTTGAACCTCCCAAAATCGATCCTCTCAAAATCGATAACCTGACAAATCTGATAAAAAATTAGTCTACCAAGTCCGTTTCCGTTATACAAATCTAATACTGTTGAACCTCCCAAAATCGATAACCTGACAAATCTGATAAAAAATTAGTCTACCAAGTCCGTTTCCGTTATACAAATCTAATACAGTAGTTTAATAATGTTTTCAAATCTGATAACCTCTCAATACCGATACAAAATCTGTCCACCATGCGCACCGGTTTTGGGAGGTTCAACAGTATATACAATATTTTTATCCATTGTTTATTTATAAATTTTTAGTTATTATGAAGCAAGCACCTATGAAGTTCGCAACAAAATTATAGAAATAGATAATTCCAATCTTCCATCTAAAAGTCAACCCATTATAAGTGACAAATTGGTTGGTTGCTATAAGAAATGATTAACATATAAAGAATTTGAATAGAAAGATTCATTACGTATAACTAATAAAAATGCTTCATTTAGTTCTTTGATCAACAGGTTAGCATGCATACATTGATACGTATTAATTTGTAAACTATAATTGGCTGGAGTTGAGGGAAACGAAGTGGAAGCCTTAAAGCCATATTCTACGATTTTTTAGAAATGTCCGGTTCCCGGTTCAGCTGGTCCTGATTTAGGTTCGGAATCCGAAAATTGAACTTAAAATTAGGATCGATTTTGGATACTAAAACGTTAATTTAAAATGTAGCTGCTAACTTTAAAATCATTGTAACAAGTAACAATGAAAATTTTTTTTAGCAAACACATTGAATAAGAACATTAAATAAAATTTTGCAGTTGACTTTTAAAATAC